CAGTGGGACAGTAAGCTAACCTTGTCAGGAAATGCCTGTCTGCCAAACACTGCCTCATGTTTACAACCAACAGACACAGCTAAAACCCCCTTATTGCTTGCAAAGGGCTGTTTCCTCACGGGTAACTGGAACAAGAATGCAACAAACCAGTGTGGAATTCTGAGGTCTTATTCCCCAAAAGAGCAAGGTGTACTCCTGTGCTGCCCATGCTTCAGATGTGCTGAGCACAGGTGAATGTTGCTCAGTGCCTTCTAGAATCAGGCTTATAAACGTTTGTACTCCACCAGCTGATGCGCCTCTGATGGCCTGACTGGTGATGCCCATGGAGATTTAGAGGACTAGGTACAGTGACAGTTATTGTATCTCCCTGACAAACAAAAATCTTCACTGCAGGTTCCAAACTCATCAGTGAAAATACAGAACCCTCTCCTGGATCAGTGGCAGGGTTTTGTGAGCAAACACAGTTTGGGAAGGTACTTGTCTGTCTTGGGCTCTAGAGCCCTGCCTCTGCACATCATCATATCCTGTCATTCCATTCCTATTTGCTTTTAGTCATCAAAAAGGAGAGAGAATAAGGTAAATGAAAAGAGAACTGAAAACTGGGAGAGCAAGCACACCCTGGCAGATGAAAACAGTAGAGTCCTTCATTGTGAATATTTCAAATGAGTTTTGTGGCTTTTGGTACAAAATGTCATTTTTATATGCCTTCTGTCTGGTAGTAGGAATGGGAATAGGCTGTAGTAATTCTTATAGTAATTCTTTCTTTCCTTTGGTCTGTTGAAGCCTAATCTCTTGGGTCTGGTTCCACTGACTTTATGATCCATTTATTATACAGTCTAAAATTTTAACTCTCAGGGAAAAATGACCAAAAGATGAAGTTACCCAGACCCAGAGCAAATTAAAGTGGGAATGAAAAACTTTTAAACTACAGATGTTTAAGCTTTAATGAAGATTCTGAAAGAAGATGTCATTCACGCCATTATAAAAAAGGGATCTTGGGCAGCACCAGCATCTTGGAAGCAAAGCCTTTTTACAGCACATGCTATTAGTGAAGGCTCAGCACACCAGGCGTTAAAGACCACATAAAAACTTTTGAGTCATAGGTAAGAGTTCCATTGACTTCAGTGGTCTGCAGATAGGGTCCCTCTTGCAGAATCTGAATCCTTTGTGTTATCCCAGCTCACTGCTGTAGAAATGATTGCAACAGCCAACAGGGAGGCTTACAGCTCCCAAACAGTAGGCAGCAGGTGAGCTCTTATGAGCAAGATCTTATTTTCATGCAAATGACCTTGGTAAGTGAGAATAAGGAACTGGAGAAAAAAAACACCCTGAATAGAAGACAGAAATGGAATTGTTTTTCAATTGAGCATTTTCAGCGGATGCCTTTATGCCTCAGATAAGACATTTATTGCGAGACAATGAATTAAAGTGAATCACTGTTGATAGTAATGCCCTGTCATAATAAATCCAACCTCTTAGATATGTGTCATGAGGTATTCTTCCGAGTCCTCAGTGAGTGTGCTACGGTTAGTAGATGGCCAGAGGGAAACTGGGGGCACGCACCATGTGGTATCATCATCATCATCTTGCTTCTACAAGCATCCCACTTTGTGGGATTTCATTAACTAGCATTAGCTTTAGTAGAGTCAATGTTAACCTGCTATGCTCAGGTAATCTTTTGGGATAATGGGTTCCCTCTACCTGTGTGAATTGTGATGAGAGTGTGTTAGTTCCTTGAGGCATTCCCAGCCTGCCACTGAGGAGACCTAAGTGAAGTGTTCCCTGTATGTACAGTATGAAATATGGCCCCACTGAGCCAGTGGAAGAAGTCCATTGCCTTTGAAACATCAGAATTTCACTGTCACACGTAAACTACTTTATATCTCATTTCACAGTATTTACATGTTGCCCTGGGAGACTGCAGGTCCCGTGGCCTGTGTGAGACTTTTCAGCAGTATCATAATACAAAAGGTATTTACACGTAAACATTTCAATTTATTTTGTGTTCTAAGAACAGGGAAATGCTGTGATATCTTTGCATTTTCCACACCATGGTGCCTGATCTACTACAAATGACAGTGTATTTCTGAAGCATTTTGTTTTGGATATGCGTGTGTGCATACATATATCTTTTGGTGTGTGTTTATTGGTGTGGTTTTATCTTTCAATGACATAGATAGGGATATCTATTCTAAAGATACTGTAAGGATATAAACTAGGGTGGCTTTTGAAGTGTTCACTGAAAGTATTTGCCAGAAATGTTGTTTTCTTGCGTAACGTACATTGTAATGCTTTTCCACTTTAAAAAAGGAAAAAAATGGAGCAAATTTTGTGTAAGTAAATACATTCCTCTTCACCCCTAAGTGTATCGCTGTCAGCTGATTTAATGGGTTTCTCACCAGAGCTGAGGCAGATGAGTGGGCTCCAAACCCTGAAGGGAGGCAGACAGCATAGCTATTTTGGTTTTAGATTTCAAATGGTTTTGAGGGCCTGCCATGAAGTGAGGAGAAGTCCTGGGCTGTGATGGTTGTTAAATTACAGAGTGTGTTTTTTGACAGCCCAGCAGAGCCCAGGCTGGGCAGGAATTCATTCCACCCAGGGTGCAGAGAGCGCAGGGCCAGCGCAGCGCGGGATGGCCGCAGCTCCCAGCCAACAAGCGCTGTGCCGGGCATTTCCCAGAGCCCATCATCCCAGCCTTCTGGCAGCAGCTTGGTTGCTGATGGCCCATCAGCTGGGGTCACTGCAGCGGCAGGGGACCGCAGGCTGTGATTCAGTGAGTGCACTGTTAGGCATCCGTAGCTGGCCGCTGCCAGCCAAGAGCGGCACATTAACTGCACCACACACATTATGATAGCGCCAGCTAAATGGTCAGTGCCTAACTGGGATGTGCTGCGGAGCGGCTGAGGGCTGCAGCACGGAACATATGGAGATTATTTCCTGAATTTATGCAGCACATGTTTTCCTATAAATTAAATTCAGAGAAAATGTGTATCATGATAGGGTGATGCTCGTAACAGCCTTCCCTGTTATGAATTACAATGACCTCTCTCAGCGCACTGGGTGCCCAGCGAAATGGCTTCGTGCAGTTGGAAACAATAGTGTATGTGGTGTCAGAGTCTGAAAGCCTGAAAACCAAAAGGCTCTCTAACTAAAAGCAGGGTCTCCTTTTCGTGTTTGTTTTTTATCCCATCCACTGTTTCTCTTATTCTTCTCTCTAGAAACTGCCCAGTTTCCTCCTGAAGTGCTGAGCATTCAGGAGGGTGGGCAGATGCCAGGGTGTCTGCTCTGTAATGAACTGGGTGCTGCCCTTGCTGAGGTGCTGCTGGACAGCAAGGGCAGCTCTGGATGTGGCAGCAGCCTGACTTCATGGGTGAGGGTGGTGCCAAAACAGCAGAACAGACGTCTTTAACCAGAATAATGAACAAAGCAGCACATGTCCCTTCTGTGTCCCTGGACTGAGGATCCCAAGCCATTTTCTAGGCAAATATTTGATGTTTTGTTGCCTGAGGCTGGGGTAAAATCATTTTTCCTTTTCCCTGGGCATGCTGAAGCATTTGAATGAAAAATATAGTAGAGACAGTCATTATAACCACTTTCCTAAAGCACAAAAAATATGTTATGTTCCTTACAACTCTGTGTGTGCAACCTTTAGCAGAGGAAATGTGGGAACAGAACAAAGTGGAAACTCATAATTAAAATATAAATATATACATGTGTGTCTATGTATATGTATGTATATATACATAAATATATAGAAGCCATGGGTAACAGACATCAAAACAATCTGGGGTTTGCTCTGGGGCAAAGCACTGTGGAATCAGTACAGACTAATAGGGTGTTCTCAGCTGTGGTGAGGGACTTGCTTTTTCATTTGTGGCTGATTATAGGCTAATAGGATTTCAAAGATTTCTGGGAGGGAACAATTCACATCTCATTGCATTTGAGGGAGGTTTTTCTTGATGTTTCATTTATCAAGCTGATACCTACCCTTAGAATACATTTTATTACTCTCCTGTTTAGCTTCTTGAACTGATTTTTCCCCTTTGGTCCCTTGCTGCTGTCTAATTGGCAGTTTTCAAGTCACTTGGGACTTTCTGAAAGATCCTAATCAGCCTTTTGTATGATAGAAGAGAATGGATCATTTGAATTAAAAATAACGTTGTGAATCTTTTTAGGTTTAGTCCTCTCTTCTTTGCTTTTCACTAATACATGCGTGATAAGGCTTGTTCCTTTGTGTTTTCTCAATAAAAATTAACAATTTGAAAGCAACTCATGGGAATAACCATTACAGCTGAATTTTGTCAGTACAGACTACTTCTGTGACTGACCTTCTCTGTTTAGAGCGAGTAGTAGCCCTAGTTATTTTTCTTTAGCAGCTCACATGTTGGGAACACACATTTAGCCTGTAAATATGGATTCAGGAGGAAAATGAATACGGCAGTGTTCAAAGCAGCCAAAAGCGTAGAAATAATGTTCTGCTGTGACTTTTCCAAACTGACATCTTGATGCTGGGATTATAAATGAAACCATTGTTCCGGCAAAGGCCAAGACTAATAGAAAGCCTTTATTACCGGTCCATTGGCTAATTCTGCTTGTCTAACCCCTTTGGATGGACACAGTGTCAGAAAACATAGTCACAGAGGTTGCTTTGTGTGAGATTTGGCCTGCTGCATGATTACATGGGGGGACAAAGATATCTCAATGACAAGTGTTCTTTGACTAAAATTTGTAAAGTCATTTTCTTTCCCTAGACCTTGGAGAGGAGTGAACTGATTTTTAATCTACAGTTTCTATGAGTGATATTTACTTTGTGTCCTATCACCTTTCTATTCAGATGTTCTCCCCTTCCAAGCAGGTAAACCTCTGCTTAGAAAAAATTGTTTCTTCTGCTGAGCCTCGATGCGGTTGACAGCTGTCATCTACAAGCACTATACTCGAATACATGTCTTTAGAGCTAGACAGTCTTAAAGGGCTTTAATCTTTTGTCTTTGCACATGCAGGGAATGCCTAGGAGCCAGAGACCCTTACTGCGGCTGGGATAGCAAGCAGAAGCGATGCACCACCATTGAGGATAGCTCCAACATGAGCCTGTGGACTCAAAATATTACTGAATGCCCAGTAAGTGGAAGGAGTGGAAATATTTTATATATACTGATGTGTGTATGTGTCTGTGTGTATGTGTAGAAGGGAGAGGCAAAGCGAGTGTGAGGCAGCCTGAAGAGGACTGGCTGTCATGAAGGAAGTGACACACTCTTAACTCTTGTGCACGGCCTCCTGTTTGGAACAGAGAGACCCCAAATATATTTATTTGCTCCAAAAGAGGGGTCCCAAAGCAAGCATTCAGTCTTCCTCATGTCCCCCCATGCCTTGAGTGAAAAAGAATACATCATGCTTTTGGGTTACTTCTGAGAACCACATAAGCCCCAGCTGAAACTTTTCTCAGAGTTGCTCCGCTATCTGCACAATCTCCTTGGCTTCCCTGAAGTTGGGAAACAAGAATTTGTTAACTTTCCTCTTGGATCCCTAAGGTGGGCCCAGTAGACAACACTGGTGAAAAAGCATTGTACTTGGAGGAAAAGCCATCAAGGCAGCAGCAGAGAAATTATTGCTTGGATGATTTCCAGAGGGAACAAAAGGATACAGTGTGTACTAGAGAAATTAAGGGAAGAGGGGAGTGTAACCAGGAAAGCGGAAATGAGAAAGTGTTGGATTCTAATCTCACTTCAGCAGACCAAAGACCAAATCTACATTATATTGCAAAGATATGGCCTTCTTTCCTTGCCCTGATCTCCATGAGATGCATGGAGGAAAAAAAAAGTGTCTCTGCTTGAGTCAGTTTGAGTTGGCTCTCCAGCTCACTTCCCAGCCACCCACCCTCCTCTGACGACAATATCCAGTTCCTGGCTGTGGTCCCCAGAAGCTGTCTAGCCAAATATAATTCCCACTGCTTGAACTGTACCTGCAAGCTGGGGAGGAAAACCAGTCTTGTTAAATAAATTGAGGGTGGGGGAGAAATTCTCATTAATGTTCATCATTATTATCTAAAGTCAATTAGCATGTTAATACTGCTAAGTCCGGTAGACAGAGAAAGAGGACTGGACGGGTTATATCTTCAGTACGCTATTTCTGTCTGGAGGTGCTGGGATGTTTATTCCTCTTATCTTCCTTACTTCTCAGATATTTTCCCAGGAAATATTAGTCATTACTTCAATCCATTCTCAGCTTGGCAGGCTTAAGTTTTTCACTGCTGGATTCAGAGGCTTGTGTGTTTATAACCCTCCTGTGCTGAACTGGGATGCAGTGCTTCTTGATTGCCCATGCTGTTATCTCGTCCTGCTTAACGCCTGTGTCTGTTGATAGGTGTGTGAGGTGTTAATCCTCTAGTTTGAACATGTCTGCTGTGGTGCACACTAGGGAACATGCTACTCCAGATCATTGTTTCAAGGTCAAAATAATCCAGCACAGAATATTCAGAAGCTTTGGCTGTTCCTGGGGTGCTAGTTTTACATTTGTTTTAACATTTCCACTGTAGATTATTTTCCTTGTAGGTGCTCTCATTCTGTTACATATATAAGCCTTGTGCTCTTTGACTGACAGGCTGCCAAGCTGTTTAAAATCCACATGCAAGTGCTTTCTTTTTCTTTCACCTCTTCCTCTCACTGGAATGAATTCACCAGTGGTGTGGAGTGGGATGGCTCATTTAATCACCTACACCAGTAATATCCAAGTATTTCTTTGTATTCAGTGCAGGATAAAGTGCCTCATCACAGAGGCAAAGGTCTAGGACAGCATGTGCAGGTGACCATGAAAGGGAGGGGAATACAGTGATCCAGTGCTGAATTTCACTTCTGGAAAAGACCTATCTGGGGATTTAGTTGGAGGAGTTACTGTCATAAGAAGTCCTGGCTTTTCTCACCCCACTTTTCTGGGCTCAGCACCAGGCGCTCAGCTGTGCTGGTACAGCTGTATGTGAGATCACAGTCTTGTGAAATGGTGTAGATAAAAAGCACCCCTCCCAAATAAACTTTTCCTAACCCAGATAATGTCAGTGAGGAGTTCTGCAGCCTAGCCCACAAACAGATGTCCTGGCACAGCTGAGAGACTGGCATGCAGCAACTTTTAAAGCCAGAACTGGCATGTTATTGAATTATATCCTACATGGGCCAGGCATTTGTGTGAGTCAATCACAACACTAACACGACTGCTGCTCTTGTGCAAACAGGCTTGTTCAGAGCTAGTCTGAACATCTTTTTATAGTACTACATTGTGCCACAGATTCCCTGTCTCCAGCTTTAATATTAAGGGACTTTAGATAGAGGATTAATCATGTAGTGTTAATATAATACCTTGGGCAATAGATAATATATGTTATTACCAGGAAACACCCAGAATCTGCCAAAGGTCATTATTAAGGTTGCAGTGTCAACCATTTTAACATTAAGAGATGATAGCACACAAATTCCATAAATTGCATGGCTCTTCCATTTATGTGCACATGTTGTATCAGGCAGTTTTGAATGGCTTTTCATGGGAATTGCAAAAAAGTAGTACAAAGTCATAAAGTTCAGTTCCTTGCTCTGGACACACTAGTTTGTTTCAAGGAAAATGTGGGCATTCTTTTCTACTAGATTCGATTTTGTAAATGGTTGAAGTAGTTTGACTGAAACTTTGCAAGAATTTCCAGCTTTCATCAAACAGCCAACATGGAAACTTCCAGATGAAGTCATTAAAGCTTGGCAAAATTATAAGCGGTTGATATCTGAATCCTAAGATAAAGAATAGATGAAATGAAAGAATGAGGAATGCTTCTAGTCTTACCTGTAATATCAGAATAAACATGGAAAATATCCTGGTAGCGGGGATTAGGAATGGCCAGTCTGAATTTTCAGATCATGCATTTGAGCCTTTAGACTGTACAAGGAAGAAAGGAAAAGGTGAGGCCTTTGGTGTGAGTATGACAGTTTATGAAAGACAAGAATTCCAGAATTGGCAGTATTGTCAGGTGAGAGGGCATTTGATCAGATGTGTTTTTAAAGATGTCCGTTCTGTCTGATGGGCACTCTGTTGGCTACAAAGGACTTGCCTTGTAAAGCTATTCCTGAAAAAGATCAATGCCTATGGTTTTTCATCCCACTTCCCAAGTTTGCTCTTTTGAAGATATTTTTGTGAATTTGAAGATGGAATAATAATCCATACGTAATTTCTTAAGTATAAAACTTCCCATACTCACAATGTGACATGTCTGTATATCTCAGCATTTTGGTTAAGACTGCTTATTTGTTTAATTTTTTGGGTTGTTTCCCAGTATTACTTATGAGCCAATAATTATTTGTCAACTACTTTTTTTTTTTTTTTTAATTGAAGCCATGGGCCATATCATACCATTGATTTCTGAACAGAACTCCCTGCTGGAATCAGCAAGACTTTCTGGCTCAAAAATGAATAGAAATGATCCAATACTTGGTTTATGACTTTTGTACGGCAGGAGGAAGAAGGAGATAAAAATCTAGTATTAAGTATCTCAAATAGTTATTTTGATTCCCCCTCACCCCCGCATCACCCTCTCATCCCCAACTTATAGCAACCCGACTGTATTGATTTTTAAACAATGTTTAAAACAGCAAATTCAACAACAACAAATCTCAGTGTTCTCCTCCCTGGGCATCTTGCCTTGTAACCTGCAGCCCAGGGCAAATTTTTACAAGTACATGATCATCTCTTGCAAACAAAGGCTTACAGCAGATGCCTGAAACCCCCCAACTACAGCCTGAGGAGCGCAGTGTCAGATCTAAATTACTTCCTTGCCACTGCTGCATGTTTTTGATGCTGCTGTAGATGGGTGAGAGGGAAGATGGCAACCCACAGAGGTACATTCTGAGAGCTGAATGTAGTGCCAAACTTAGAGAACAAGAACAGAGAAGTGTGTTTCAGGGGATGAGTGTTGGAAAGCACTATTCCCGTGGCTGCAGTTGTCTCCCTGCGTGGCTCTTGAGCAGCCGAGCAGCCTCTCTGTGGCTTGGTTTACTCATCTGTAAAGCAGGAGGAATGATTTCTCCTCTGGGTCAGCCCAAGGGGCTGATCCTGCCAGCATCAGAGCTCAGTGAAGCATGCACACTGGTGTTTGTCAGAGGCAGCTGGCTCAGATTTGGGGCCAGGGCTGTTTGCCAGGGCCCCAGCCTCTTCCTTCCTTCACCCTTTGTTGTGTGCGACACCGAGGCCAAGTCCAGTATTGCCTTTGCCAGAGGTTTTACCAAAGCTGCTGAGCATCCCACCACCCTGTGGGTGACACCACAGGGATGGGCCACTTGCAGGCAGCCACCATCTGTGCCATCCACCTGCAAGGCCCAGCAATGTGGGATGTGGGGTAGGGAGGATGGAGGGAGTCAGCGGGGCAGAGTCCATCGTGGTGCTGCACTGTTGCAAGGGAATAGACAAGGCCTAGGCAGGACCAGCACCAATCTCTCTCTGCCTCATGTTTCTCAAGTAAGGAGAAGAGATGATGCCAGGTCAGGGGTGTTCAGGGTAGCTTTTAAGACATGGTCCTGGGCTGCTGGATTTTGCAGTAGTGGTGGAGTGGGCACAAGAAGGCAGTGGTGGCCAGGAGTGATCCCAGCAGGACAGCATGCATCCTTTCCAGCCAACCTTGGGGGTGAGAGTCCCAACAGCTTATTCCCCCATCCCTCAGCTCAGGGCTCATTTGGCAGCACTGGTTAGAGCAAGGCACAGGGGAGCAAGCTCCGATACTGTCTCCTAGAAGGTCTTCACCAGTCCTGGGCTGAAATAGTTCTGTTTCTCATGCTTTTGGCCTGCCAGGACTACCGTATTTTTTGTTCATTACAGCATTCAGGGAGCTCAAGTCCCAGCCTGTTCAGGCCTATGCAGGTGTGAAACAAAGGTCAGAGGAAACAGATAGCAATGTGGTCTGGTCTTGAGATGAATTCTTGCCCTTTAGCTCACTGTGATCCTCAGAATTAATGCTAGTGACCACCATCTCCTTCACTTTCTGCCCTTCATCCATTTGGCCATTTAGGCTGCAGCTCTGTTTGGAAAGGGATCCAGTTCTTACTGTGTGTTTGGACAGGGCCAAACTCAGCGAGGCCCGGTCTCAGCTGGTCACTATGGTTATATGAATGCTAACTCAGAAAACACTCTGCAGGAAGCACTGCAGAGGCTGGAGCATAATGAGTGGGGACAATCAGCACTGGCTGTTGTGTGTTTGAAAGGCTGAAACTGTGCAGTGTGGGACGGGGAGCACGGTGGTTTTATGGTGTGGCAGATGGATGCTTGCTCCTGGTGTGGTGCTGTCTGGGTCGGCTCGGTGCCTGTGCGCACATGTTAGGTATGTGGCGTGGAATTTGGAGGGTAAATATTGATGTGGCATTGTCTGAAAACAACCCTCTGTTTTGAATCCTGCACGCAAGCACAGACAGCTCCCATCTAAGCTGCATCCTAATCCCCCCTGGCAGCTTTGTTTGGCATTTCTATTGTGGGCCTGTCTCCAGAAATGTAAACTTGCTATTAATGACTTCTCTTTCTCTTAAAATTAGGTGAAAAACCTGACAACAAATGGAAGATTGGGGCCTTGGTCCCCATGGCAACTGTGTGAGCACTCGGATGGGGACAGCACAGGCTCCTGTATGTGTAGGTCACGTTCATGTGACAGCCCTCGTCCTCGCTGTGGAGGTCGCGGTTGTGAAGGGGCCAGGATTGAGGTCGCAAATTGTTCAAGGTACCTCAGCGTTCTTTGTGCTTTTTAGGAAGGGAACAAGAGTTGTGCCTGTCCACAGCTTAGCTCCTTTCCTGTGTTTTTGCGACCGTGTTGTTGTATCCCAGCCAAAGTGAGGTATGTGAGATCCCCCTTGAAGTCAGTGTAAAATGAAGGAGCCCAAGGGCTCTGGGAGAAGGGCCCTCAGCCAAGGCTCTTGGAAGGTGAGCACCCAAAATTACTGTACACATTAACCTTCCCTACACTGTACCTCGGTTTCCCTCAGCTGCACAGTGAGTAGTGACCCCTCAGGAGGAGGTGAATAAGGCAGAGGTAGTTGTTAGCCAACTGAACAGCAATAGCCTAAAACCATCAATAAGCTCATAATTTTTCAGAGTTTGGGTTCCAAGACTGCATTTCCAAAAGCAAGCAGAGCTCCTTCAGAGCAGTGCTTGTAAAGTCAGGGCCTAGCCAGCTCTGAGCAAGTCTTGTTTGCCCTGTTTTGCGAGTCTGTGAACTGTCTGCAGCACGCTGGCCAGGTAAAAGCAACACATCATCGCCTGGCAGCGAGCAGCGCTCAGGAGAGGTGTGTGCTGGGGACGGCACTGCAGCAGCACATGCAGCTCAGCTTGTGTCGAAGTGCTGCCTGTCCACAGAAGTCTGAGGCAAATGCTTGAGCAGTGTGGAAGCTCAATGTCCTCCTCTCGGGTGCCCAAACATAGCAGTGGTGTTTGTGCCCAAGTTACTCCACCACCCTCAGACTACATCATGTCATGACTCAAGGAAAGACGATGCAATAGTGTAAGCACTATTTAACCAGGGTGGGGACAGCCAGTATTTTCGTAAATATTGGGTCAATACAGTTTTTATCTACTTTATCTTCTCCATAAACATTCATTCCATTAAGGACAGCTGTCTCTTGATTGATCCCTGGAGATCAGTGCTGGTATTGGCACCAAAATTTCAGCAATACTCATGTTTTAATTGGCACCTCTCCTACCAGTTGTGAGCTGTGCTGCCCAAAAGGTGTGCAGTCATTCCTGTCCCTGTGCTGCCACTGTGGGCTGAGTGGAGCCTTCCCCAGGCAGGCTTTTTATGTCAGTGGCAAATGGAAAACATGCCAGTGGGATGGGTTTCTCAGCACTGCTCTGATGGCAAAAAAGACAGGAACAGCTTCTAAGAAGGGGATGAAAAACAGATTATTCAATCTTAAGACATAGGAAAACAGCATGGTTTGAAAAATAGGGACATCTGGTCATCCTACATCCGCCTCAGCCCTCAAATTTCCTTTAATTGACTTCATATGGCATTGAGATTTCTTTCTGAAAAGAGGGAGCAGGATGCTTTAAAGATGACTTCTATTAGAAAGCTGGAGATCTCAAAGTGGAAGGTGTCTTATTTCTGTTAAAAATCCTGAAGCACAAATAGATGCTGAAAACTGTTGGGTTTTTGAGGATTTTTTAGTAAAAATTAGTTGCCCTTTTTGCAGCAATAACAGCAACCTTCCATTTGATTTTTTTCTTTTCATAATTTTACACATAATCTTTCTTTTGGGTTAAGGAGTGGGGAGGTAGTAGGTGGGTTAAAACTTGGCAGAATAATATGGAATAGTAGGATTTTCATATAAGTGAGTTTCTTGTTCTTTGACCTTGTTTTGGGTGGGAGATGGGAAGGGAAGCAGGGAGAGGGATAAGAGAACAAGAGGAGGGGAGAAAGATCTATCAGGGTTCTGAAGTAAAGCTGCCAAGAACAGGCAAGAGTTGATAACGAATACAAAAAGTGTGAAGGCCAATGTTGGTTTTAACTTTCATCCTCTGCCCTGATTGGTGCTATGCCAGAAAGTATTTCTTGCCAGCAGTGTTATTAGTTCAGTAAATGCTTTGAAAATTAACATCTGTTTTCAAGCTTAGCATTCAAGATTCATAGAGCACCTGAGTTGTTTTGTTTTCTGACTAGACTTTTTAGAAAGACTTTTCTTAAATAAAAAAACACACCCCAAACCCAGTATTTTTTGGCTTAAGGCAGTGAAGTGTCAAGATTAGGCAGTTTTATAAGACAGAGCATTACCACTGCCTCCGTATGAAATGAAACCTGCAGCACAGAAGAGATGAGATACAGTTCCTCCTCTCCTGCTTCAAGGTTCAGTGCTTCCAAATCAGAGGATGGTGAGCTTTAATAGATGCAAGATTTGAAAGATGAAAATGTTGGCTTCTGTGTAAGCACGTTTGAGTCACCACATGGCAGCAGTGTCGCCGGCACGTGCTCAGCCTGTTGCAGGAGCGAGGCACGGAGTGTTTGCCAACATCTCTGTCGCTGAGGTGTGAACTAAGGGGTTTTACATCATACTTGCTTCAGGCTGTGTTACCACTCTTCAGCAGAGATGTGATCACTCATTAAACCATGAAACTCGATCCTTCCTCTGAGCTCTTAATTGCTTCTAGTTTCTGCAGATTTAAGGTCACACTACAGTGACGTCTGCAGGCGGCCATGAAAGCTAGGAGCAATTATTGTTATTTTTAATGAAATTTGAGGTTTCTGCTTAATAGGATTCAATGCTGAAGGCTTTAGGAAAACACAAAATATTATGAGGTTTGTGATAAAACCATGGGAGCTGGCAGTGGTATTGCTGTAAGAGATTTAAAGCATCAGTACCTACTGAATTAGCAGAGGGTAGGTTTTCTACATCCTTTGGCACAACTGGCATTCTTGATTCTCAAAACCTGCACTCTTTGTGCAGAAGAGCTCAGGAGACACAACTTTGGGATCAACCATTGGCTCAGAAGAGCCGGGTTATGAGACATGGGGGAGGTGATGGGGGAATAGTCGGTGAAAGTTATACTAACCACACTGTTGCCTGACAAATCATAGGAGACGTTTGCAAAATCATTCAGCTTTGTCTTCACTCTCTTTCTTTCCAGTTCTTAGAGACTTCAAAGGGGTTGAAAGTTAGGTCAGTGCTAAGAGCTTTTGAAACTCCCTTTTCTAAATCTCCTCTGATATAAAGTCTGGTTGAACTGAATAGTCATGTGTGTTTTGCTGCATAATGCATGGCATGACATGGGAGACCGTTGGATGATCCCCATACTCTGTTTTCTCTCACCCTTTTTTGTTAGAAATGGCGCTTGGACACCCTGGTCTTCCTGGGCCCCATGCAGCACCTCCTGTGGGATTGGCTTCCAGGTCCGCCAGCGATCCTGCAGCAATCCTGCTCCACGGTATGGGGGCAGGGTCTGCGTTGGACAGGGCAGGGAAGAAAGGTAAGAGTTGTCCGCAGCACTATGTCTTCATTTCTGTGGTTGTAATGTTGGCAGCTGGGAGCGCTGGCTCTCATGGGACTGCAGATTAAGGCTGCTTGGCTGAATGTGCCGAGCAGAAGGAGCTGCAGAGCCTGGGAGGGATGAGGTTGCTCACATTCATGGCCACTCTTTTCCAATGAGCCTGTGAACATCAGAGACTTCAGAGCTGCCTTCACTATCAAACAGGACCTTTCAGACCTCCATAAGTATTCCTGTCCCACCAACAGGGGGCTACTCTCCTCACCTAAAGGAGAAACTGCACCTGCTGTTGACAGAGTTTACAGATATGGTTGCACTCTTCTGATCTGTCCTGGAAGTGGCAGCTGAGTATGTGCAGCTTTTAGTTGCCAGTTGCACTACTCCCAGGTCTCTGTTACTTGATGGTGATGGTGCACCAAAAGAAGTTCAAGGCAAAATATAGCTTAACTCACAGATTCAGTCTTGAGTTTTGCAGGTCATGGCGTCAGAAAAACCTTTTTTCCCCTCTAAACTAAGAAAATGTCATGCAAAATCACTAAAACCCGATGCTTTTTGAGCCTACAGAGCCATCTGCACTATAACACTTCTTCAAGCTTGACCCCTCATGAAACACAAGCTTCAAGGCACCCCAACTTGTTTCCAGGTGTGACATTTCATTAAAGGCCACCTCTGCTTGGCAATAGGCTGTTGCTTGTCCCTTGAGTGGTCACTAAGACACGTGTCTCTGCATTTCTCAGAATACAAAGGGCAATTCATTTAACTTACTTGTTTCAGGACATTTTAATGTTAGATTTAGTTTGTGTCCATTCACAATGGTCCTTTTTGGGGTTAAAGATTACAACAGAGTCAAGTGCAGTCCTATGTGATTCAATTTGAGAACAAAATTGATTAAAACTGAACAAAATTAAAGTTACTTTTGACACGGGAACATGAAATAGCATTCATTTAGGACCTGCTTTTAGTTGCATATAGCTCCTAGTTCTGCTCTATTTGCAAACTCTAGTTTCCTAGGGTCCAAGGAGCAGTAAAAGCTAGACTGTGTGAAGAGAAGAAGATTGCCAGGTGTTTAACACCTGCCACTAGTGACAAATCACTGTTGAGTTGTTCTCCCACTCTCATCCCTTTTACCATGTATTCTCTCTCTTTGTGACACTTGGGCTTCAGCTTATGAGCTCTTTTGTGGATTCAGTGTTTGTGGAAAAGTTTTGAGACTAGAGCACTTCAAAACACCTGATCTCGACCATTTACTCGGACTGTCTTCCTCAGCTCAGCCTGGTTATCCACTCCCACTCTAGGCTACAGATCTCTCCATGATCAGGAATATTGCTAATCCGATGGTGTGTCAGCCTCCACTGGCTCTCTGTGCATGCATCAGTTGTGCCCCGATGCAGTGTGCAGTCTTGTGTCCTGCACCATTTTGTCCCTTGGATGTGCTGATGTGGATGTTCTTTGAGCAATGCACTTTCTTCTTTCAGATTCTGTAATGAGAACAGTCCATGTCCATTACCAATTTTTTGGTCTTCATGGGGACCCTGGAATAAATGTAGTGTGAACTGTGGTGGAGGGATTCATTCAAGGCAGAGGTCCTGTGAAAACGGAAATACGTGTCCAGGCTGTGCTGTGGTATGTACTGTTTACTGACATTGCATAAAGGGGCACCTACTGACAACCAGCATCTAGGAACTTGGTATTAGCTCCTCTCTCCATCTTGGTTTTATTTCTCAAGCTAGAAGAAAATGCTGTCCTCAGCTTTAGCTGGAGAGGATGCTGAAATGAACTTGGAAGCACAGAGGTGGCAGATTTAGGGATAGACTGGGGTACGGAGGATTTCCCTAGGTCTCTGTAGTCTTAGATTTTATGGCCTATACCTGAAAGCAATATACATGTTTTTCTCTTCTGTCCCGCTCCCGAGGATGATCTGTTGAGTCAAGGAGGCCACACACACATCAGAAGTGATTCGCATTGTCATACTTGAATAAACAGGTCCAACACCTAGTTCACCCATCAGTGAGGCAATGGCTACCCATTTGTTCTCTTTACTTTCCCTTTCCTATTCTGGCAGCAGTTTCATGCAGCTCTTTTAATTAGTTTTGGGGAGTTTCCTTTCAGAGCAAGCAGACTTGATCTGACACTTCCCATCTCTTCACAAGCTGTTTGACATTTACTCTAGAATCACACAAGGTCCTGAAGCATTATTTTTTCCTCTCTGCCAGAAAAGATTGATTTATTCATTTATTTTAAATCAAGAACAGAATGTTTGTCACTGGAACTCCTCCCACTAGTGGCAAGAATTGTAAAACCCCCAAATTACCCCATCCCTGTACACCAAAGATGGTAAATGGTTCATAACCCTCGCTAGAGAGTTCAAGAAGCCAACCAAACAAAAAAAGGTATAGAAAGAGATAATCTAAACCCATATTAAAAATCAAAAATAAACTTTTGAAGGAATAAATCTTAACAGACATTTTGTCCTCATGGGGCTTCTCTAGGCTGACCTGAGAGCAGCATCTCAGGGTCACAGCAGAAAACTTCTTGGCTGTTGCTGTTATCTACTGCCTGAATTATTCTCCTGCCCATAATGTACCAATCTGTTGAACCCCCACAGGACTTAGAGTCAGCAAATAAACACAAACCTGAGGGAGACATAAAAATAGCAAGCATAGTTTACCCTTGAGGTCTACCTGAAGCTATTCACCACCACTACCTCCACAGTCACCACATTTTGTGCTGTGCCCAGCACTGGCTTGTGCCTGTGAGGTCAGATAAGGTGGATGGAGATTGTTTTAGATCCAGAGAGTACCCCCTTATTTTCTGAAGTGTAAATAAATCTCTACCAGTTAGGCTGATGCTGTTTAATAAGTAAGGAGAGAGCAGTTTTCCTTCTTGACAGGAATATAAGACCTGCAACCCAGAGAGCTGCCCGGAGGTGCGCAGGAACACCCCCTGGACCCCCTGGATGCCTGTAAACATCACCCAGAATGGTGCCCGCCAGGAGCAGCGCTTCCGCTATACGTGTCGTGCCCAGCTGTCAGACCCCCACGAGCTGCAGTTTGGGAGGAAGAAAACCGAGAGTCGTTTCTGCCCCAACGATGGTTCAGCCGTGTGTGATACTGACTGTACGTCCCGCCAGCTCTGAGGGACCACAGGGCAAGCCTAGATTAGGTGGTGGGAGGGAGATTCTCTCAGGACAACGCAAAGCTGACTGTGTCTGCAGTAGTACAACTAGTGTCACCTGTACGACCAGTGCCACTGCAGAGTGGCAGGGATGGAGAGAGGCCTGTGACGTACAGATACACAGTCATGAGCTCTGTGCTTATGGTAGTGTATAGATTTGTTCTTGCTGCCCCAAAGAGAACAGGCAAGTAACGCAGTTGTAAAGAAGAGAAGAGCTGTTCTACAGGACGCTGTGTCTTTTCTTTCTCTCTTGGGCTCCCCTTGTGCACAGCCTCTCGGGTTGATCCCTGCAGTATTGCTGTGATGCAAGGCAGTGTCTTGAGGGCACAGCCTGGACTCCCAGTTTTCTGCCCCAAAAGGACATTTTTCAAGGTGATTAGTAGACTCAGTTTGCGTGTTTGCAAATTTCTTTTTGTATTCCCTGTGGAACAAAACTCTTGCTAAGGGCTTTCAACAGAAACTATTTCACAGGGCACATAAATCCTGATTTTATTTATGAGCTTTTCAAAAGTCCAGCTTTTGATTAATTTGTGATCTCATGATGTCTCATTTGTTTTCCTTGAAGCTCTTGTTGATGACCTCCTCAAGACTGGTAAGACCTCTGCACGGATTATCAATGGGGGCTGGTCCTTTTGGGGGGCCTGGTCTTCCTGTTCCAGGGACTGTGAGCTGGGCTTTAGGATCAGGAAGAGAACATGCACAAACCCTGAACCTAAAAATGGTGGCTTGCCCTGTGTGGGGTCAGCGATGGAGTACCAAGACTGCAATCCGCATCCCTGCCCAGGTAAACATGAACATCTTCCTGCATGAGATTCAGAGGAGTTTTTCCCTAATCTTAATGGTAGAGCAACAACAACAACAACAAAATCAGTACTTCTATGCTGGTTTGTTTTGTTTTGTTTTGTTTTTTAAATTTGGGGTATTTTCCTTAGTATTTTTAAAACTATTGTAATGACCCACAAATGTGATCTTTAGTGCTGACTTCGGTTTCACCTAAGGGTAACACAACCACATCCTCTAGAGGAAGTAGTAGGGTGGCTTGTAGCAATTTTTTTGCTTCAGGAAGGTTTGATCCTCCATCCTGTGGAGGGCATCGTGGTGTATCTGCTCCTTGATGAAGAGACAGGTTTAATAAATGTGGCTTAATACTGTATAGAGATGCTTGATGTGGCGGCTCTTCTTGTGAACACTTGTTTCTTCCCCCTCTCCTGCTTACGTATTGTTCTTGCGATGGGCATCTCCTCTTGACATCAGTTACCATTTCCTGCACAGCCAGCAGGGAGTATTCTTGCCTGGTTTCCTGGTTTTCGAGTTTGTCCTCATGTTTATGTTGCACTCCTTGTCCAGAATAGTAGTAATAGACCATTGACTACTGTATTCTCTCTCACTTATCCTTCTCCTTGCTCTGTAATATCTATCTAAACTAAATTTAAGTCATCTTACACAAATTACCTTGCCTCTTTGCAGTTCTAGCAATTATCTACCTCTGGCATTATAGTTTGTGGCCTACACTTGAAAATGCTCTATTATAGTAGTACTATTATGATTCTAAAATTCAATACAAAGATAAAATTCCAACGCAGATATGATCAGAATGTGCAGCAAGAGTGTAGCAGGAGTGTCAAATATTGCACTCTATGGCCTATAAAAAAGAAATAACCCTAGTACTATAAAGGCAGCTATTAGTACTATTTTGGAAGCGCTCAGTGGCTTTTCACTAATGTCTGTGCCCTTCTGTGCTGTTTTCTCTCCTTGGACAGTATGATGTTTTACAATCTGTTCTGAGTGCATGATTACTATTTCTCTGTGTCTCCCTCTTTCCCTGCCTCACTCAATGTGTATACACAAATCCTGGGTTTATCTTGCACTAAGTCATCAGGTTATTATCTTCTGAATTAATGGCATGTGGACCTGTAAACCAGGCAGTATAATAGGTGGGGGGTGGGGGAATCAGTGTTCCTAAGTCCCTCCCTAGTTTTATTATTAACCTCTTATGGGGTTATGCTCAGATCATAAAATGGTTTGAGTTGGAAGGGACCTTTAGAGGTCATCTAGTCCAATGCCCCTGCAATAAGCAGGGACAATGAATAAAGCCTCTTGAGTTTCTGTTTCCTAAAGGCTGAAACTAGAGGACTTGGGGGCCCCACAGAAAGGTGCCATATAAGCTCCACTTAGGTTCTACAGAACTTTTTCCCCAAGTAAATCTGCTTTTGCTGTAAGTGAAGTGTCAAGAGGTAGTAGCAGTAGTAGTAGTAGTAATAATAATAATAATAATAATAATAATAGTAATAATAGCGATGCTGTTCTATAAAAAGGAAAGGAATAGAATGGAGTAGAGTATTTCAATGAATAGTAGTGACTGCCATAAAGAACAGTTACTATTGTGGCACTTTATGATGCAGAGCCTTTTTCTGCTTAGATTTCATTCTGCATCCACAGAGTGCAGTACGTTTGTACTCTCTCTTGATGCAAAGTTTTTCTTGTCAGGCCCTAATGTCCCAGAAACTGCTAGCTAGTCTGGGCAGGGTGGATCTGGAAGGTGAGATACCAGGGCTCTCTAGCTTTGTCACAGTGAGAGGAGTAACCAGTGCCATCTACCTCTCTCTCCTTGCTCTCCTCCAGTGAAAGGCTCGTGGTCTTGCTGGACTCCTTGGTCTCACTGCTCAGCAACCTGTGGAGGGGGGCACTACCAGCGCACGCGGACGTGCACCAATCCAGCCCCGTCCAGCGGGGAGGATATCTGCATCGGCCTGCACACCGAGGAGGCCCTCTGCAACACGCACCCCTGCGAAGGTAGCCACTTCTCATCCCTGCTCCACTTGGCTTGGAGGGTGGTGGGAGCAAGGCACATCTGCGCAATGTTTAAAAAGTATATCAGAAACACCACCAGTTACGAGTTTTTCTGTAGGTGTCTGCTGAGCCAGGGAAAGAGGAGACATCTCAGTGTTCAACTGCAACTCATCACCTTTCTCCGTGCCTTCTCACTATCCCATGCTCCGGCATTCTGGTGCCAGTCAGGCAAAATCTTGCCAATGGTTGATCCATTACAAGTAATTGAAAAAGCTGGAGCTTGGTTCTTCAGCGTGGAAGTTTACAAGACAAACAAAAGGGGTCAAGAAGCAGCAATCTGTACAGTTGCTGAAGGGACAATCCTTCCTTTTTCTTTCACAGACAACAGATGAGCATGTGCTGCAACTCAGAGGACAGGGTTTAGTTCTGTGCTGGCTTTGCATCTTTCTGATCTGGTACAGGCCAACTCCTGCCCTTGGGAACCTCAGCAGAACTCTATAATTGCTCTAACTTGTGCTGGCTGCATTAGGGATCCCTGGGAAGCTACATCAGAACGTAGAGGTCATGGTGCAACATTGCCCCATGGAGGTCCTTGTATGACTTTAACCAGAGAGCTGATATTGGAGCTCTTAAGACAACTCCTATGCAGTGCTCCACCAAAGGTTGGTTTAGTCCATATTAAGAAAACTACAAGTAGGGTATGATGTTTGCACTGGTATTTGTATTGAGAAAATGAAATCCACTAGAGACCCCTGGATTAGGTGTGTGAGAGAGGCCCAGGCCAGGATCTAGATGTCCTTCAGCACTGGAGAAGCATCTTTTTCCTTTTTTCCTTCTTGGTGACATCGTCTGTGTGTTTCTCTGGTCTGGGTTTCAGGTGGCTGGTCGGAGTGGTCGGAGTGGAGCCTGTGTAATGAAGAGGGCATCCAGTACCGCAGCCGCTACTGCGAGGTGCACAGCCCGGACTCTTCTCAGTGTGTCGGGAACAGCACCCAGTACCAGGATTGCCTGTATAATGAAATCCCTGGTATGTACAGTGTCACCGAGGAGGGAGAGGGTGGGCCAGTTCAGGAGAGCAGTTCATGCCCAGACTGTCAAACTAGGCTGAGATTTTCACTATTATAAATTGGACTGGAATGCTTCTAGTAAAACGAGCAAACAACATGTTATATATTCCCTTGTGGCAGGCACAGGGTAACTGGCATTCCTCTAAGTGGCTTAATATTCTTTTTTAACAGAATTACCTAGATTTGTAACAAGTAACTTATGGCTTCACCTGAATTGAAGCTTTTAACCTTGCATCATTCATCTCAGGATGGTATATAAAAATTCTCTCTTTGTTCTCAGTATGGGTATGGGCAACAGAATGTCCTTGATTTCAGGTACCAAAAGAAGCATCCCAAAAGAGTGAAGAATGAGGGTGAGGCAGATGGAGAAAATTTGAGTGTGAAGTAGGGAGATTAATCCAGGGTTTAAGAGAGAGACACTGTTGGTGGACAGATGGTCATCAGCATATTCCACCCTGTGTTTTCTGGAAATTGAATCTCTCAGGCAAATACTTGGTATGGGTCTAGACTGAATAATGCCTTTCCATGTGTTATTTTTTGGATTATGGTGCCCTGACTTAAAAATCTGAGATCTCTAGGCAATGGTAGTCTTTTTCATGGTTTTCTCAGCTTTCATCTTTCCCCTTAATTGAAGAAGCTAAAGAGTGATCAGGTAACAGTACTGGAATTGTCGGGTCTTTGGAGAGGTTTTATTGCATGTGTTTCAAACTATGAGCTTATAATTCAATTTGGAGAGGCTCTCAGCTTGCAGCAGAACATGTGAGCACCTTCTCGTGTCTGGAGCACAGGGAGTTTAATTACTTGAAGAAGTAAAGTGATGGCAAAATGACAACTTTCTCCAATCTTCTTCTCTTTGTTTAGTGATCCTGCCAGCTTCCAGCATTGATGAGAGTACAAACTGTGGAGGTAGGGTACCATTACCTATATATCTTATTTTTATCTTAACGTGGCTTTTTTTCTCCCTGTGCAGTATCAACCAAACCATTAATCTATACAGCTCATATCCCACTGATAGCCTTAATTCCACTGGAGTCTTGCTGTCTGAGTCGGACTGGAGGAATGTATCGCATGTCCACTTGTCAGTTCCAAGATTTTCATTTATTTGAGAGTTTGGGTTGACCACTGAGAGTCATTAATTACCAGGGAGCAATTGCTTGTCTCTCTCTACCCACAGGGTAAATGGTTCAGGAGGAAGGAAGGGATATTCCCCATTCCACCACTGTAAGCCTCCAGCTGTTTGAAGGCAGGTGTTTTTAAATAACCTATGAAGATTTCATTGAACAGGGTCTCAGACAGATCTTTTGCTGATAAAGGTTGAGATTAGAGGCTTATACTTGTCCTCCAAGCACTTCCTTTCCTTCAAGTTCTCACCTCTCACAGGATCCGTGTCTCCTTTCTGCATGTAATGTGGAAGGATCCAAGTTACTACAAGTCATTAGTGTCACTTTTCCACGGCCCTAGGAGCCCCGAGATAAAAATGCAGACTGAAGAAAATGGCAGGTTCCTCTAACGTTTTGAAAAGCTAGTTTCACACTAATGACCATGCCAATTCCTGTTAGCATCACATCCCTGCTTTCCTGAAATCTAAATGATCTGCAGGCTGCCAAAATCTCCTCTCCCCGTAGAGATCATGGCAGAAACAGGCACGCCACCTGTGGCATGGAAATGTGACCTCTCGGTTTGCAACTGTGGGGCAATCAATGGGATTAATATTTCATCCCCTGCAATGTAACATTTGGCTTCCTGCACCACTCCTTCTCCCTCAGAGGGTGCAGCGGTTCTACTTCAGTTCCACGACCCCTTGCTATGGCTTGCACTCCACTGTTGTGCACTGTACCACATTTCCTTCTTTTACCATCACCACTGTATTTGCAGTTGCAATCTACTTTTTATCATAGCTAATATTATTTATTACTTAGTGTTCTACAATATTTGGCAAAGAAGCCAATCAATAGAAATTCTGTTGATGCATCTCAGAAAATCTATATTTTCAAAGTGATGAACCAGAAAGCTTCCCCCCTGGGGATACACAAGCTGCAAACAAAATAATTTGTTCGGTGTTCCCCTCCCACCCCCCCTTAACATACAGCTAAAACTCATCTGAAAAATCAGATGGGTGTTTCAAAGGTGAGACTGAAACGTAAGAGAGCTTTATGTAGGGACTTGCAAATGTAGCAGTGAAATGAAACATTCAGTGCAATATAAGCAAAGCTGGGCCAGAGGAGAATGTGGCAGCATGTCATGTGCCTTTACTGAGCACAGTTGTGTATTCTGTGTTTTAGCTGTCAAGAATGATGTAAAGCAGGCAGAGGTTTTTAGAAAGGAAATGTCTTTTTGAAGAAATCTTGTAACATTTAGTAAGAAATTATAATCTTTCTGCTAGTTTTTTTGGCCCGTCATCCAAAACACAATAGAAAGTGGTAAACTTGCAGTACAGTTTTATAGTGTGGTTTGAAGAATAAGTGTAACTCATCAGTCTAATAAATTCTGTATGTTCCTTACTGTAATTATGATTGAAGTGCATTACTTTGCTGTAGAATTCTATTGGTTTTGTTCTTTTTAAACTCAGGAAGATATTTTTTAACTAAAGATTAGATGAGAGCCATTGATTAATGGGCAGAACCTGCTATTTGAAAAGCATATCAGTTAAAATGTTAAGATGGCACCAAAAAAATGCATGCCGTGATCAGACTAAGAATGAGCCTCATTTAAAATCACTCTCTGACTGGTCCCATTTCTCTGCACACAGTCAAGTCAACACAGCAGTCTGTCCAGATGAATTGGCTTTTTAAGTATTACGGGAAATTTACCGCTGCAGTCGCCACCGAACCGGTGTGGCTGACCCCTGGGACAGCTGCCCCGGGGGGCCAGCAGTCAGGGGGTCCCCCTCAGACCCCAGGGCCCCTGTCAGGTCTGTTTAAAAAATGACAGAGCAAAGGCAGAGGAAAGGCAGTAGCATTTGGAGTCAAATAACTGATCCTTTTTCTGTAGAGTCCCCCTTGCACGTAGCTAAATACAGCAGGGTCATAAAGTTTTGCCACCCAAGATTGCGTCTGGTTGCTTCATTAACTTGGTGGCTGTAAAGGGTGCTACTGTTTGTTCTGTTGTCAGTGGAGATCAGTTGGTCATTGGTTTTACTGGGGGGGGTGAGACTCTGTGAGGGAGGAATGAGGAGTGCTGTTTGACGTTGTCTTCCCCCCACCAGTCAGAGCTGTGAGTGAGTTAGGTGCTTCCCAGCATGTGGGATGCACAACTACAGCACCTTCCAGAGTTCAGTGCTGAGCTTGGAGGGTGCTGCTGCAATCCCATGAGGAGGGATCTCCAGAAGAGGCTTTTACAGTCCAAGAGCTTTTCCGTTTGAAATATTTGCACTGTAGCTATCCTGCCGGCACCTGCCTGCAACTGGCTTTTCCAAGCAGTTCCCCCTTTCCTTTGCCCACCTTATAATTCTTATTCTCCTGAGGACCCCTATTTCACTGTTAGCAGCACAAATACAGCTCAGAGGTAGTGCAGACATGGCCAAGGCAATGCTGCCCCATGAATAAGCAAGAATGCTGAGCACACTTGGATTACAAGGGGGAGGAATGTGTATCTCCCCCACCCCACACACAGTCTCATAGGCATTTTGGGCAGCCAACAAAAAGGGCTTTCCCCTCCCTTCCTTCCCCTTCAGAGAAACACTGAGCATTTTTATCCCCTTATTTCCATGACATGCACATGCTTTGGAATCCATTAATGTGCATTGTTTGTATGGCTCATTTCTTTAGCTGTCAGCTTAACATAATGTTTAGTTTCAATATCAATAGAGGGGAGAGAGGAGAGACAGGGAGGGAGCTTTGAGAAAACAATGCATGAACCTGTTAAACTGCTCGAGGCAGGGCTGCAGTGGGGAGACTGATTTGCAGGAAGATTATGTCAGTTTATGTTATAACATAAGACTCCGGCTTCAACAGCTTATTAATGTTGATCCCGAGATGTCACCGCTCTGATTTGCACCTGTGGTCTTGTCGGGGGAGGAAAAGGGGCTGTTCTTTAAAAATAGCATCTCTTGTCATTTCCCTTGCAGGTTTCAGTCTCATCCATCTGATTGCCACTGGGGTCTCCTGTTTCTTCGGCTCTAGCCTCTTGACGTTTGTGATTTACGTGTACTGCCAGCGCTGTCAGAGGCAGTCCCAGGAGTCCACCGTTATCCACCCCACCACTCCCAACCATCTCCATTACAAGGGCAACACAACCCCCAAGAACGAGAAGTACACCCCTATGGAGTTCAAGGTAGGGTACTTGATGAGAAATACCACAAACAGCTTGATACTGCCTAAATAAATTCTGTATTTATGTCAGGGTTGGAACTGGGTAGGCCTGTGTTTCTGTGCCCAGCTGATGGCATTGTACAGGGGCTTGAAAGGGCATTTAGTTGTACTGTCACAAAGGGGTTAAAAAACCTCATTACTGCAGTGGGATTTTGTTCTGTTTCACAGCCCTGATGAATGCCAGTCTGGCAAGTACATACCAAGATACTCCAGCCCATTCTGACTATTGAATGTATACAAATTGTCCTCTAAAAAATCAGTAAGAGCTCAGTTCAGTGCATTGTTAGTGCGTGGTAAGAGGAAACGGAGGGGAGGAAGAATAAAAATGGAAACTTCATTAGACAAATAGCTGGGAAAATGCGCATTGGTAGGATGAGATTTTGGAAATTCTTTGGGAACTGCCAAATTGGAGCGAATGAGAAAGCAGAGAGGGTTCTGCCCCCTCTATGAGTACTGGACAGAACTTACCTCAGGCAGCCATGCAGAATTGAATGACAGTAGCAGAGTAGGGAACTGAAGCCTTAGGATGTGAGTGCTGAAGTGGCATATGCTGTTACCATGTCTGCCTGCTAAAGAGAACACCACCCATTATCTGAGCAGATAGGATATGGTGCTGGAGACAATACACTGAGACAGTGACACAGCAATGTGTTTGAACATCAGCCTCCTGGTAAGCGTGGGATCAGAGGAGTGTGCAGTGGGATGGGTGGAGGGGCTGCATGTCACCACAGGAGGAACAGCCTGCCTAGGGACACTTGAACAGTGTGGAGCATTATTTGGGACATGAACACAAAGCAGAAGGAAGCCCTGCAGCTGCTTATTCCTTCAAACAACTATGTGCTGTTGACATTTTGATAGTCTGTTTCTGCTGATCTGGCCTGGCTTCTAACTGAGACCCAGCAATAAGATCAGTGGTGGGACCGTTGCCACAAACTCCCTGGATGTTGAGGGCTGTTTCTATGTAGGAGTTGTATAATGCTGGGCACAGGACGACTCCTGATACACGGCCATGATTTGCAGTGAGAGTGAGCATCAGAAATAAGAGCTTGCATCAAATAATTTCAAAAGTGTCAAAATTGTTTCACTGTTTCGAAGGAGAACAGTTTGAGCTGAAAAATAACTGACCAGTTTGGCAATAAGGATGTGGTGAATTCCTTTTGTCAGGCACTGCAGCCTCTCAGAGGATCCCGCTGCCTATAAATGGAGTCTCAAAAACACATTTGCTAGCAGCATAAGGCTACAGTTGCATACAGTTTAATAAGAGTGCAGCATCATAATGCAAGTCAGCATGGATTTGTGGAAAGTAAATCATGTCAAGCAAATTGGATTCCTTTTTTAAATTAAATAAATATTGATCTAGATAGGAGGGAAGCAGCAGATGTATTGGGATTTTCAGAGACTTTTAACAAAGTTTCACAGGATGTATTATTCTATACACTCTGCATATACAGATTAGGTGATAAATTATTAAGACAGGTAAAGAACAGGGATCTGATCCTGGAAGCATCAAACTATGAGAGGAATCCTTTCAGTTACTTGAGTAGCTATGACAAGGTCAATAGGAAGACCCAGATTAGAAAGGCGTGCAGGACTAGAGATAAGCAAGAGTATTCCCTTGTTTCTTATATAGCAAACAATGGAGAAAAAGGACAAAATTATTTTTGTGGCCAAAAGCAGGTAGTTACAAGTTGTATTTGTGTTACATTTTCTTCATGATTTGTGCCATGAAGAAAATCATGTGTTATCAGATGATAGTAAAATAGGCAGAAAGTTTACAATTTAGAAGGATGAGGTTGTTCACAGAATGATCTTGATCAGCTGGGTAAATGGGTTATGAAATGCACTATGTCTATGTCAAGTGGTGCAGTGAAGTAGAAGTAATAACAAAGCTAAGCAAAGTTTAAAATAGCAGCCGATTAGTTAATGTAGTGTCAGGAGGGAGTTGACCTCTTTGATAGATCCATCTCTGAATACTTGATCTAGTGTATAGTAACAGTGAGCAGCTGCTAGAGTCTTCTTTCAAGGGACATAAAGAGCTTAGGCATTAGATCAAGTTTTGAAAAGTCTGGTTTATTTAAAGGAAGGCATTAGCTAACTGACACTATATGAGTTAGGCTGGGGGGAGAAGGGACTTGGACACAAGGAGAGATAGACCAGATGGGGCTTATTTATAGAATGTTAGGAAGTGAAAGAGTTCAAGTGCATAAATCTGCAGTCATTGGACAGACCAAAACTAAATGTTTAGGAGCAAGGGGCTACTAGCCGAGAGGGACTCGAAGTCATACACTTTCAGAGTGGTGAATGAGATTTATAGAAAGGGTAAAATGTATTTATCAAGTGAAGACCCCTTTTCTCCATTCCTGTTGAGTATTTCCATCTGCTTGCCTTCCCTATTGCCCCTCCTTTCCTAGACTCTTGACTGAAAATTTCTCATTTCTTACTACAAATTTGCCACTCCTCAGTGTTCCCTTGAAGCATATAGCATTAGTGAAGTAAGAGGAAGGCACTGTGTGCTCTGTGCTGTGTAATTACTTACAGAACTTGTTATTAGCCAGCTTTATATTTAGGAATAACTGGCAGAATTTTCTAAGGGTCAGGAGGGAGTTTTCCATGCCTTCAAGGAGCATGTGCAGTTTTACTGGGATGCCACACAATTAACATTCAAATGATGAAGAAGCTAAAATTCCCCTTCCTGAAAATGAGGATTGGACTGAATTCGGATATGGGCCATCTGAATTTAAAATGTGTATGTATGAAAGAAAGTGGAAACACCTGAAATTCCAGATTCTAAACCCAAGTAAGTTTCTATTTAGCAAATACCAAGAAAAAAACACCGTCAACATTTTTTAGGTAATGAAAGCAAACCAATAATTGTAGGTTTATGTGTGTATCTGTGTGAAAGAGTTAATAAGTCCATGATAAAGGAAATACATGATGTGTAGACTACTTTTCAGTAACAGAAAATGATAATACATAGTGACATGATGGTAGCAGAAGGCTGGCCATATGCACAAGCCTATTATTTTCCATTCTTTGATAATGGAAACAAACCTTCTGCAACCATCTTTAGTTTGTTTTCATCTTGAAATATCTCCGCTCTCCAACCAGCAGGTGAACACTGTAGAAAGTTTGGCAGTGTTACATTCAAATGTACAGCACTGAATGCAAACTTATAAATCAAGGTGAATTTTATATGAAGGCAGATTTTAGTGAAGGAAGTGCTAGCTGATAGGAGCCTTGTTGGACATTCAGCACAGCAATGCAGTAATGCAGATCAGATGTAAATATCATACATAACAGCGACCTATTGATCGTTTAGCGGATGCTAACTTGCATAGCCAGTGTTTTGCAGAAGCGTGTTTTATTTTTTTTGGCTTCTTTTCCCTTCTTGCTTTGCTTTCTGACAAATACTGTGAGGTTTATTATTAGCTATTTTAGCCATGATGTCTTAAAATATTTCATGCGTATGCATTTACCAGCAAAACGTTGATTTTGATTTGGTATTCATAGATCGTAGGGGAGAGACCTTTTGGGTCACCTAATAAGCAGTTCATGTTTCATTAATTGGTTGCAGTTCAAACAGCACTCTGACAATATTGAAGACTGTGCAGAACAAAAGCGTAATGAAATAAAAATTATCTGCTCTTCACATTTTGGCATGACGGGTTACAGAACCACCTACAACCTTCCCGGTACTGCCATGCCGATTAGTTAATAACTGACTATCAAAGCAGTGAGGAGATCCTCTTTTTTAACATCTTGCTTTAGCTACTCAATGCTTTATGTGAGTTACTCATTGGACTCATGCTGATGGAAAGCCAGATGATCCTGAAGTAGAAGCAGGAGGATGCAGGGTCAAGATTGAGCCCTTGTGAATTAGAGGAGTTCTTGGAACAGCCACACATGGAGAAAGGGTTTGGACTGAACTTCTTCCTATTGCTAAATCCTCTGCCAGTAAAGAGAGCCAACATTTTATTCTACATAGGATTTGGACAAAGGCGTCTGCATATTGGTCCAAATCCAAAATCCAATGGCCTTTGGATCAGGCCAGATGGGATCGGCGAGAAATCTAAGTTTGTAGGATGGTTATGATGATGATTTTGCAGATTTTCTTTGCAATTGTGCTAGACAGACTTCCCTCTGTCCTTCCTTCCTTAAACACAGCTTTAGTCATGAGTCTCACAGGCAAACTCCCTGTGCTGATGCCTCAAATAAACTGAGGAAGCACCTGAGCATTACATCTGCTCTGGCATCAGCACTGCTCTCGTAGAAGCCGAGGGCCAAAGACTGAAGCAATGCAGTCATTTGTGTCAAGGATTAAATTTATTGTGGGAAAAGATGAGGTGAGAACTGAGAGAGATTGCAGGATATGGCAATAAAAAAGGGAATCGAAGTGTTTGATGTATCACTTGATACCTGAATTTTCTAGGACAATAGAACAATGCACATTAATTTCAACAGGAATGTGAGTCCTGCACTTGCCTAAAATTATACTGCAAATATAGATGAAGCTACCAGAAAATGGGGGGAATATTCAGTAGATCACTTGCGACTGTATAAATTAAAAGTTACAATAGATATTTTCTAATGAAGTGAGAACAATGCTGTTGGGAATCAAATGACTGCACAGCAGACACCCTCTGCGAAGGACTCTGGACCCTGTGATCCACACTTCATTGTTAACCCCAAATAATTCATGTCAGTAAAATACCAACAGAGAGAGAGAAAAAACAGAAACCAGTTCTGTCTTTGGAAGAAGAATCCTTCCGAATAAAACAACAAGCTGGATGTTTGGTGTGGCTTTCAACATTGCAAAAAGCAGTAAAGCTCAGGGTATAGGAAAGTGAATCTCTGTATGGATTTTAAATGTCTCACTCTTGGTGATGGTCATTTTCATTGCTGCTGAAAATCACACCTCTTTTTATAGCAAGGAGAGCGCCAGTGGTTTAAGTTTAAATTGCT